ACCAGTGGATCAAAAGTTATTCATAGTTAATTATTATTGGAATTTTTAATAGTAATTCCAAAAATCCGCCGATATGTCTATATTATAACACCAAAAAATATTATTTCATTAATAAAATCTAGAAGAATAAAAAAATCGATTATTACTTTAAATTAGTTTAAAATTTGCTTCCAATCGACCAGTTTCTTCATAGCCCTTTTTTGTTATGTAGAAATCGTGGTCTCTAATATCTCTGAGGACTAATAAACTATTTTAATCAAAATATTTATTAAAAATAGTAAAACGTTCATTCACACTGATTTCCATCAATTCAAATAACTTTATTATAACTCTCATAAAGTGAACAATTGTCTGTTAAATTACATAATGCGATTAGTTAGAACGATTTTTAATTAAAATTCTTTTACGCATCAATTATTATTTTTATTCTCGGGCCAAAGGCCAATAAAACTATCCTACTTCTAAAATATGTATAAGCATAATAATAAAAAACTTTGCTTTTTCTATATTTTTCTACGGGTCATAATATTTGATTAATTGTAAATAAAGAAAATAATCCTTTGGTTAGAAATAGATATAAATATCAAATTTATTGAATTAAAATATTACTAATTACTATAGTAATAAATATGTAAAATAAAGAAAGTATAATCATAATGTAATTATAATAATAAAATAAAATAACAATAAAGTTCATTCTTATAAAAAAAAAAAAAAAAAAGTATAAAAATACCTTAGTTCAATGTCCATCTCAGTTTGAAACAATTTTGAAATAAATGTAGTAAAATAACAAAAAAAAATAATAATAAATACTCTTCCCTAATCTAAAAAACAAACTTAATAAAAATTAAAAAAAAAAAAGTTCACACAAAAAATAAAAACTGAACTAGAAAATCAAAAAAAAAAAAGATATCCATCTTCTGTGCTATTTCCTTCATCAAAACTTTATCAGGAAACAATAAAGTTTGTAGCAGGTCTACCGTTTATAGAATTGGACCAAATGAATTTGATGAGTACAAATTCAAAGCATTTCAATTTAGCAAAATAACTCTTGTCAAAGAACTAATGAGACACAGCATATCATTAATAGTTAGACGATTTGCTTTTAATGATAAGGATCTAAATGTAATAAATAAAAAATTTAGTTTATATATATAACATTCTCACAA